ACACATCAGTCACCGACGGGACATGCACAAATTCTCAATCACTCAGCTTCGTGGGTAATGTTGAATAATGTTAATTTGAAGTGTGTCTGAAGGTTAGTAACACGTTAATCCATCTTTGTTTAGTCTTGTTTTTGCTGTAGGTAAAATAAATCAGTCAAAAACATCATTGATTTTAAGTTTAAGAAAAGATACTTCCCTAAACATAATTCTCCATAACCCTGCAACTTGGCTTACGTTTCAGAGGTGTCTCAAAATCTTACAACAAAGTTATAAATAATGTGAAAATAATGAAACCTCTGTTTAGATATTTTCTTTCCTCCGTGCACCTTCAAAGTAGGTGAAGTTGTGCGTTCTCTGCCTCTACAGTCTTTCTTGTCTAACCATGACAGCTATATTATAGGTACTGGATAGTATCAATCATTTGAGCGACATTTACTTTCAGTGGATTAATATGAACATACAGAACACTGCTCATTGTGACATGATTTGATTTGCTCATGATTTGTTTACAGAGTCTTCTAGGTTGAGATGCTTATGCACTCACACACAAATCTCAATGTCAAACTGACGCCGTAAAGACAAAAGCTGAGCAGGAAACCTGGAACCGCAACAGCGCATCAACATAGAAGAAAGAATAAATAAATAAAAATTAGAGACAGGGGCATCAATCACAGCTAAGCAGGTGTCTTTGACATTTCAGCATCATAATACCGTAATAATTATTGACTTTTTTACCGACAAAGTTCAACCTCATCTGAGGTTCAGTCTGTGAATATGATAAATCATAATTGCAAGGTCAATGGGAGTCAAGTATTGATCACTGCATGAGATGAATGCACATCCATTATCCTTGAACAACAAATTAAGAGAATGAATGATTGGGAAAAAATTATAATTGCAAAGGGTAGATTTTACAGTAAAATGGATTCAGGGACTTTTATGGACTGTGACGAAAGAGTGAGGAGCTGATCTGAGAATGAGGTTAAAAAAATGTATATCTAGAGCTGCTTTCACACCTGAACAGAACTCTGGGTATTCTGTCCAATTATTCAGAGGGGCTACATGTGTGAACGCAAATGTCTGCTGCTCTGGACATTTGCCAGATAATGTTCGTGTGACATTGATGAGGTTTCGAAAATGCAATTTACACAAATGCATCCTCTCCTCAGAGACCACCCTTAACCTGAACCCAATCCTGTTGTTGTGACCGCATCTGAAGCAAAGGATCTCCCGATGCAGAAATGTTCGAACCCTATTGTCCAGTCATTCTCCAGGTGGGTTATTAGAGTTTTGTTTTTTTTTTCGGGGGGGCAGTCGATGAGACTCGATCTTCTTTCTGAACAGTCAAACGTGTTTCTGCAAATGTAATACACTCCACCCCAAGCAATCCCAGGCCCAGTCTGGTAAAGTGAGCAGCACCACACATCACTTTGCAGGATCAGTCTTTCTGCAACTTCACCTCACAAACACGCACTCACACTTCTTAAACACGTGGCTATTAACATCTGCCACCCCCCCCGATATCCCACCATTACCTCCACCTCAATGTCTTCCCGCTAGACCTTTTTCCATTTGCACCTCTCCTCCCACCCCTCCCTGTTGGGGTGTTCAAATCAGCTTGACAAGGAACACCACTTCTGGTTGCCCTGAGCAGTCACTCCTCCCCCTTCCCTGTTCCTCCCTCTCTCGTGGGAACATGGTGCTATTATACATAAACAAGAAGCCCTGAAAACAACATACGCTTTACCCCCCCCCCCCCCCCCCTGCACCTCGACTGAGCAGACAGGTATTAAAGGGGTGGGAGCTGTTCAGGGGGACTCAGCCTGACACCCACAGACACAAGTCTATTTGAATATCAAAAGGAAAACAGGGAATGTGTGAAATAGATTTGCAAACATTGATTAGGAATAAATCTTGGGAGTGGTGGGAGGTCAGGGGTGTGAGGAAGTTGGAAATGGCAGAATACGTATGTGCCCGCAGGGAAAGGGGGGACGTTTGATGTGAGCGTGTCCAGGAGAAGCGTGCGGTGACAGGCAGGCTTTGTGTAAGGTCCTCGGGAGTGTCACTTCAAACGTGCCCCGGGGCAAAGCAATATCGCAGGAACACACCGAATAGCCACAACACAAAGAGATATAAAATAAGAAATACAAAATTCTGCTAATGCATTACCGGTTGGTGTAGACTGCAGTAGTTATTGAGATACTCTATATTCACACTTCGCCTCCCAGATGACCACTGGGCCACTTTGAGTTGCCCACACGTACGCACACACACACACACACACACACACACACACACACACACACAC